CACAAAATTTAATAAGATTGTAGAACCAAACAAGAGGAAGAATCTTCATTCCTTTTCCGAGGTCCAATTTGGTCGGGATCTGAACATACTTGTGGACCACCGGAAACCCTATAAAGAGTTCACATCGAATCAACGTCAAATAAAACTCTGACGCCTTAAAAAATGCTTGGTCTTGGGTTCAAGGGAATTTCATTGGTGGTGGTGGTTGACGGGGAAGCTTTCAGAAACAGTGGATCGTTGTCGTTAAACTCACGGACTCATCGAAGCTATTCTTAATGAAACAGGGATGAAATCAACTTAGGTTTAGGTGGATAGTGAAGAGTAAGTGGCTTGGTGATGATTGCAGGTGGTGGCTTAATGGGTTTCGCCAGAAAATTTGACGAATTTGCGTTGGAAATTCACGCAGGGACTAGGTCAGAAACTAGTCATAAATGGGTAGAGGGGGGTCTAGGTCTGCTGGCTCTCTCCTCTATCATTGGTCTCCTTCCAAATAAGTGGTCCCAAGTTACTATTTATATCTAACTTCCAATGCCCGTAACTTCATTGTTATAGCTCTGATTCGCGAACGACTTTCGTCTACATGATTGTGGGATTGACCTCTATTTGAAAACACTAAGTAAGACCCCAAACGGTGTACAAATGTTAAATGATTAATTACTAAAATTCAAACTTTGTCCCTAAATAATTAAAACTCTAAAATTAACGAAAACAAAAATAAAATAAAATTGCGTAAAAACAAAATACATAAAATTATACAGTGAAAACCGAGGACGAGATTTCACACATCATGTCCGTGTGGAAAACACCCATCTCAACGTCCATCTAACGTACATCAAAGTCCTTGCACCCAAGGATCGGAGTTTAAGAATGAGACGAGTTCCTTCCTTGGTCCACAATCATATTTGAAATAAGTCAAATCAAAGTGCAACTCAAATCACCAACTTCCTTTTACTCGATTGGCCTTAGGCCGTGAGTTGGAACATCCGCAACACCAACTTGAAAGAACAAGAGATCTTGAAATCCTTAGTTTTTGGCTGAGATCAATTTTGAGACGAGCAACTTATCATCGAGGTTTCTTAAAAAAAAATATTTCTATCAAGAAAGACTTTGTAGTTATAATTAATGGTGATCAACCTTTTGTTTTTAGTTTTAAACCTTTGGGAGGTTGGATTTGAGATGTTAAAAGGAGTATCAGCAATGGTGAATTTGACATGTTTGGTAGAGTATGATTATTTTTACATGTCGAAGAAGCAAAACCTCAACATAAGAAAATAAACACAACCTTATTGAATAATCTATAGTGACAATATCTCAAAGGTTGCTATATTCTAACATAACAATTGCACAAGAAAAGGTCCAAATACATACACACAAACAAAAAAAGGACCTTCAAAGCAACTAAAGAGCCCAAAACAAAGAAAACACCAAAGCAAACGCTAGCAGCTTTAATCTGCTATCACCCAAAAGCTGCTTGACAACCAACTGAAATGAATGTCTGCAGCACAAACCTAAAAACAAGTTGAACAAAGCCCCAAAACTAGAAGAAGACTGAGCCAAAACAGAACCCTAAAACAGATCTTCAAACACCGCAGAGCACCACATTGGCAACCATTGGGAAAGAGCAACCCAATAGCAACAATGCCATCGAAGGAAATCCCAAGGAAGGAGATTGTGTGAACACCCAAGTTCAGGGTGAAACACAATAAATAGTGGTGTAAAGATGTAGAAGCTGACACACCCTCGACCTTAATCGAAGCGTGTTGGCCATCACGTGAGAGTGAGATAGCCATGTGTGTAGTACGGAAGTGATAATGATGTGAAATTGTGGATAAATAAAAACCACTAGCTATTTTACCCTAGACTAGCATATAAGTACGAGTAAGGGTGTTTAGACTATAGATACACACACAACCAGAGCATAGGTATCGAAATGCAGTCCAAAAGACAAAGTACTACTTATACAGAATATAAAATCAACCCTACATTGATGGATATCTGTCAGAACCGCCGAAGAGACCTTGTGAGCCACCAATACAGAAGTCTACCTAGAACTTGGAGGGGTGCAAAACAGAAAATGTGAGTGGGAAAAAATAAAGCCTTTCAAAACCATTTATCTTTCCAAAAGTAATAACCCCTCACCGTAAAACCCGTATAAGTTCCTAGAAAATAAAACTACAATACGTATATAAGAACCATGCTCGAGAATAATAAAACCAGATGCATGCCAAGTCAATCATGTCAATCATGAATAAGTAAGCCAGGTGAAATGAACTAATATAAAGAAACATATCAGGCAGAGTCGCCTAACGTGACATGTACAGCTAAATCTATAGCTCAACAATCAAATCAAATTTTGCACATGAGTCAGAACCACTGAATGTGGTATGTACGACATGCTAGGTCTAAATAAATACGCTTAAGTGCTACGATCACGTGAAGGCTGTGCGAAGTATCTCAAGTCACCTACGAGTCGGAACCACCTAAGGTGGTTGGTACGACAGGCTGGCACCTGCCTTGGATCCAAGGTAAGCGTGTTGTACGGGAGGTGAATGATCACGTGAAGGCTAGGCCCTGACCTTGGGCGGAGCACTAACACCGGGGTGTAGGATATTAATCACTAAATGTAACTCATTATAACCATACATGCTACCATCACAACCATCAATATATACTCACCTGAAGCTTACCTAAGCGTCCACAGCATCAAGCAGTACTATGCACAACTATACTAATGCATATTCTAATATGTAATGCATACGACATGGCATTTAAACCATAAAAACCATTTAAACAGTCTCTGGGAAAACATAAGGCATATATATGCATATATATAAAACAAAAGCCCACTCACTGGTATGTAGTTGGGTCGTAACCCCCAAGTTTCGCTTGGCTGCGCTTGTCCTCTAGAAAAGTCTCACCTATATGTGAAACAACTATTTTAACGTTAATTTTAAGCACATAACCATCATTGTGTAATAACTTTTCATACGTTGCTCATTTGGGGTATTTGAATATACCATCGTGGCCTACTCAACACCACAAGCATCTTCATATTTTTAGAAAAAAATTTCAACGTCCCACGCGCCCTCACGCGCCGGCCAAGGCACGACCACACGCGCAGGCACGTGCTTGGCACACTAACGGATTCCCTAATGGCGTTAGGGAATATTCCGTTAAATAACAACATATTCTGTCTAAAAACTAACGATGTTACCTTACGCCGTTAGCATATTCCGTCAAAGTTGACGTATATTCCCCTTCATTCTCCGATGATTCGCCGGATTCCAGTGCCGGCAGCTGCTACACTCGTCGATTTCTGGAAAAACTTTGAATCTTAATATCTCTGTCGTTTCAACACCAAACTTCACAAATTTTATATCAAATTGAAGCCTTGAACTAGAAAAACACGATCTTACCTATTTGAGGTCCTAAATTTGACGAAAAATGACCGGAAAAATCCTTTAAAAACAAGCTACTCCTGCAAACCCATTACTGAGCTTATTTCGACGTCCAAACTTAACCAAAAGTAGTCTAAAACACTAGAGGAGTTGTAATAATACCTTTCTAAGTCTCAATAGCAAGTAAAACCTCGACTATCACATCGGGAAAACAGGGTACCCCGCCGGAGCTTCTAAGTTCTTGGGTTCCCGTGAACTGTTCTTTGTCCCAAAGGTGTCACTAGACTCGTGGAGCCACAAGGAAGACGATAGTGACCTCCAATCGCTCAATCTGTGAGGTTTAGAAAGGTTTTGAGAGTTGTGAGCTCGGGTTGTACAGAAAAAGAGAGTTCGAGAAAGAGAGAGAGTGAAGGAGGTTTTGGGCACGTGTGTATGTGTGTGTATTGGTCACGGGAATGGGTGGAAATAAGAGAAGCAAGGCCTTGATTGGGCCATGAGGTTTAAAACTAGCAATTGGTCCAATAGAAAACGCAAAATTCTAATTGGACCCAAGCACATAGGAGATGTGGTGATTGGTTCATTTCCTTAGCCCAATTTACACCTTCGTTTATTCATAACATTTTCGTTACGAACCCAGTTTAAACCTAACTCACGTCATAGCGCTCGCGACGTCAAGTATGACTTAATTACGTCAACGTAAAAATAATTTAAAACCATATGCATACATCCACATCACAACGCCCCGAGGGCATAATCGTCATTTCCACGCTTTCGAGGATAAAATATATTTTAATTTGGGACGGGTCGTCACAGAAGCCGAACTAGATTGTGAATTGGAAAATGGTGAGGAAAATCACTCTCATTGCTTGTTGAAAAAATTGTACGTACGAAGTTCATACGAAATTGGTAAGTACAATCAATTTAAAATGATATATTGAGAATAAATTGATATAAAACACGCATTTTACGAGATTTGATTTCGAATATAAAACTCTTATCTAGAAATAAAGATAAATATCACTATCGACTAGTTTTATGTGACTACTTACAATCAATTACAATAGCTAATTGATACAATCCTATAATTAAGCAAATCTTCTTGTCGCCGTTAATAGGTTTAATTTATTTATTTTTCTTGAGGTGCAGTGTCAAGTACCGCCCGCCAAACTTTGCCATTTTCATTCTCTCAAATATGAAACATTCGAGAAATAAGATCGTCTGCATGTGCATGGGCCACCATTTTAACAATTCTTTGCCCATTAGCTTGTGGGCCCGCCATGCCTTCATAGAACACGAATTGAGATGCAACAAGTGGAAGTCTTGGTGGACGACCGGAAGAAGGTTCATGTAAATGTGATTTATAAATTTCTCATGGGTTGACCAAAGCACAATATGAAGGAAAGAAGTTTGACTGGTTAAACCGACATTTGAATAAATAAGAATAAGAAACGTTATTCACAAGTATAACCCAGCCGCTTTCTTTTACCACTGCAAATCAGAAATTCTCTTCCTCTTCTAGACGCTAAGTTTTGTGTACATATTGATCCACTACAAATATTAGTTTTTACATTAATTTGGAATTAAGTGTTGAGTTTAATTTCAATGGAGGATATTGAAATAGAAGTACCTCAATATTTCATATGTCCCATCTCTCTCCAGATCATGAAAGACCCCGTAACGGTGGTAACAGGCATCACTTACGACCGGGAAAGCATCGAGCACTGGTTCTTGGCAACCAACGACTTGTCGTGCCCGGTCACAAAGCAGGCCTTGCCAAGAGGCGCCGGCTTGACGCCCAATCACACCCTCCGCAGGCTAATCCAGCAATGGTGCAAAGAAAACGCAACCAACGGGGTTGATTTGATCCCGACCCCAAGACTCCCTCTCGACAAGATCTATCTCACTAGACTTGTTCGGGATCTTGGGGTTTCGCATTTGCAGTTAACTGCACTGAAAAAATTGGAAGCGCTTGTGTTAGAGAACGATGAAAGGACGAGGTTCTCCATGGCCGAAGCAGGTGTTGCCAAGGCAGTGATTTTGCTCGTCATAAGATGTTTCAGGGGAGGTGAAACAAATGGACTTCTAGAAGCTTTTAGAATTTTGCATCATGTTTGGAATGTGAGTGGTGACAATGAAGTCCAACTTCTTGTTAATGGAAACACCGACTTTCTTGATTCTTTGACATGGGTTTTCAGGTGTGGTCTTGATCAGATGGATAATCATCTCCTTGTGAAAAACGAAGCGATACTGGTATCGAAAATGACAATGGAAGTCCTAAGTCCATGTCAGCTCGAGAGGTTGAACCTTGAATTCTTCAAGAATATTGTCATGGTGTTAAAAGAAAAAATTTCACTGAAAGCTGTCAAATCTGCACTCCACATTCTAATAAATGCATGCCCGTGGGGGAGAAACCGAATTAAAATCGTTGAATCCGGTGCAGTCTTCCAGATCATCGAGCTTGAGCTTGCAAAACCCGAAAAGCGTGTAACAGAGCTGATATTCAATCTTTTGGCCAATTTATGTGGCTGTGCTGATGGGAGAGATCAGCTGCTGAAACACGGTGGAGGTATGGCCATGGTGTCTAAAAGAATTCTTAGGGTTTCACCGGCAACAGATGATCCAGCAGTTCATATACTTTCCTCGATCGCGATGTTCTCCGCTACACATAATGTTCTTTCAGAGATGCTGTTGGTTGGAGCAGTGTCAAAGCTGTGCATGGTAATGCAATCAGACTGTGAAGCCTATTTAAAGAAAAAGGTTAGAGGGATCTTAAGGTTGCACTCTAATGTCTGGAACAACTCGCCTTGTATTGCTGTATATCTGATAACAAGGCCTAGGTGGTAGATAACTGTATACATTTATATATTCTCAAATACTTATTTCAGGACTTTTTGTTGTTTGTTCATTAATTTGTATATAATTACGATTACAAGTCTACAAGTTCTGTTAATTGTATATAACTAATGAGTTTTGTAACTGGCTGTTTTAGAAATACGATTTCCATACAACTTTTATTTTAGTACATTGTTCTACGTACCCTTCCCATCAACCAAACAAATTGAACTCTGAATTCCACTGCTCATTGCGTTGTCCTAAATTTAAATACATGAGTTGTTAAATTATTCTAGTAGGCTTTTTTTATTAGCACCCCACATAATGTTGAATGCACCTTACATTAAAATTTAATATTAAATGACTTGTGTTCCCTACTGTGGAATGACAATTTCGACCTTATTAGGTTCTAAATACACCCCAAATCACTTAATGTATTAGTTAGGTTTTGTTCAACAATGGAAGCTTCCATTGTTGAACAAAACCTAACTATCGAAACTACAACACGTTATTTGAGAAAAAATATTTTTGATGAATGGAATACGAAATCGATGTTTCTGATCACACTTCCTCGGCATCCAGAGTCGAGGGTGGGGCCTCCCAGCCAGATAGTTTTTTCTAATTTTCACTACGTTGTATTTTTTTTTCATTTTAAAACTATTATTTTTATGATTATGAAAATTTGCTGGATTGTGAAAATGTGTTGCGGGTTGTGAATTACTGTTATCTTTCTATTTTAAGGTTTTGGGAAATGATATACTAGTAGGGGAGGTTTTGCCAAATTTTCTGTATAAATTGAAGCTTAAGGTTTTAACCATTTAGGTTTTTTTGGGTAGCTAAAAAAAACACTAGGGAGCCTAATCGAATGTTGAAGATGGCACAGAGTGTGACATCCCACATTGCCCAGGGGAGTGATCCTTAAATGTATATTCCCATCCATACTTAGCATGAGGCCTTTTGGAAGCTCACTGGCTTCGGGTTCCGTAGGAACTCCGAAGTTAAGCGAGAAGGACGCCAGAGCACTCCCAGGATGGGTGACCCACTGGGAAGTTGCTCGTGAGTTCCTAAAAACAAAACCGTGAGGGAATGGTAAGCCCAAAACGGACAATATCGTGCTATGGTGGTGGAGCGGGCTCGGGAAGTGGTCCACCCCGGGCCGGGATGTGGCAATTTGGTATCAGAGCCTAACCCTGGCCGTGGTGTGCCGACGAGGACGTCGGGCCCCTAAGGGGGGTGGATTGTGACATCCCACATCGCCCAGGGGAGTGATCCTTAAATGTATATTCCCATCCCTACCTAGCAAGAGGCCTTTTGGGAGCTCACTGACTTCGGGTTCCGTAGGAACTCCGAAGTTAAGCGAGAAGGATGCCAGAGCACTCCCAGGATGGGGGACCCACTGGGAAGTTGCTCGTGAGTTCCCAAAAACAAAACCGTGAGGGAATGGTAAGCCCAAAACGGACAATATCGTGTCATGGTGGTGGAGCGGGCCCGTGAAGTGGTCCACCCTGGGCCGGGATGTGACACAGAGCGTGCGTCTATCCGCCTCCTTGATCAAGATTGTGTATGACTCGCGACATCGTGGAGTGGGAACCTCACAGCAGCATAGCAGCATCGCTACTAGCTGTGGTTAGTTATTCGGTATTGTTGTCCTATGCAGTGGGAGTCTTGGGCACAAATTCCCGAGGAGATGAAGAAACTGGTGTGAGACAAGTTGTCGGTTAATAAATTAATTTTTAGGCTTTATCATTTTTTAAATTTTGTTTACAAATATTATAAACCAAAGTATATTATCTTAATCTTATTAAATTTCTTACTATTATTTTATTGTTTTTCATATTTGTAGGTCAATTATGATCTTCAAGACATATCCTTTGAGGCCATGGCCTACTTAGAGGAGACCTTAGCAACCCGGTATAAAAATTGGAAGAGCGATCTTCACGCGCATTTTAAGCTATGGGATGATTCGGAGATTGCTCGTCTAGAGGGTTGCCCAGCTGAGTTGGAGGACCGGCCAGAGGATTGGGAGTAGCTCTACAAACATTTTACAGACCCAAAATTTGTGGTATGTACATAATATTTTAATCATAATTTATTATTGTTTTAGTTATTTTTTTAGCTTTTTTTTAATAATTTCTTTTAAATAGTCGCACTAACATGTATATTGTGTGTTTAACAGAAGAAATCTGTTGCTGGCAAGAAAGCTCGGGAGTCAAAGACACTTCTCCACCATTCCGGTTCGAATCCTTTTTCGTATAGGCTTGAGGCACAACGTCAGGTAAAAGTATATTAATTTTGAAAATTTATACAATTTATTTTTTATTATTGATTAATAAATTTTCTTAATGTTTTTATCTTCAGGAGGGTTCTAAGTTCCCAGAGATTGACCTGTTCAGGGACGTATACATTCGACCCGGCAATGAGACCACTAAGCAGCTTCATGTAAGTATATGTAATTGTTATTATTCTTATATATATGAATCGTTCAAATATTATTTATATTTTTTTATTAAACATTATATGTTTTTTCTTTATTATTACAGGCTACTATGGTGGAAAAACACATTGTTGTTCTCCAAGAAGCAATATCACATCTTCCACCAGAGACCCCGATCGAGGATGTCATTGTACCCGAGGATGCAGGTCTTCAGATCCTGACTGAGGTTATGGATCCGAAGTTCGGTTGTCGTCATGGCAAAGTTGTTCGGTGTATAGGGAAGGCACGGGTTTGTGAGACGGGTGCCTCCTCTTCCAGATCGACCACATGAGAGGTCAATACCCCTGAAAGAGGAAGTGACAACCCTAAAAGGTCAGCTTGCGGCCCAGGGCGAGCATATGAGTATGATTGTACGTGATTTACAGATGTCTGACCTCCAAATCCTAATGCTAGCACTTGATCTTTCTCCACCTTCGACTTCCCAGCCACTTTGCCTAGTCGATACCCATTAGCCTAATGTATCAAACCTAAAAGACTACTTCTTGTAGCTTTTTCTTTTTTGTTTGGACATCTTGTATGTACATTTTCATATATTTTATAATTAAATACTTTTTCTTGGTTTATTAATTATTGTTTAGAATTTAATTACAATATTTATTAAAAATTAAATAAAAAATATTTTTCCCAAAAAAAATAAAATAAAACAAGGGTTTGCACAACGAAGAAGTAACCCGTGTTATGTGACGCATGTCCCTACGTTGTGCAAAACTCCTTTGCGCGATGCATGTCCTTCTGTCGCTCAAAGTAGTTTTGCGCGACAAAGCGACATGCATCGCACAAAGGAGTTTTGTGCGATGCAGGGACATGCGTCGCGCAAAGACACTTTGCGCAATGTAAGTTACTTCTTCGTTGCGCAAACCCTGCTTTCACTGCCTTGGCGCGACGGTTGTCGCGCAAAGAAGGTTTCGTTAGGCTAATTTTCAGACAACATTTTTTGACTTTGCGTGACAAAGGTACCTGTGTTGCGCAAACTGTTTTTTGTACTAGTGTTTGGAATGTTGGAAATTTGGAATTTTTTAATGTTCTCGTGGGGCCACAGTGCGCAACATCACACTTTAACAGTGTTACTAATGGTCAACCTAACAAAAGTAAGGTATGAGACTAGGATGAAAAAATTTGATGTATGAAAATCTGAAACTATGATTCTTTAGGGTAATAAAGTGAGAATTACCCTAAATTCTAATATCATTACGCTCATCAAGAGCATATATTAGATTTACAATTTTTTTTTTGTCAAATTAGATTTACAATTATAGTTTGCCTTATTTTTTGTTAACGTAAATTTGTTTGGTTTGAGTTATTTTCAAACATTATTCTTGTTCTTGTTAAAATTGTATTCATCATTAACTATCAATCACAACCAAAAATTACCATTTGCCTGACTAAGGTTTGTTCGACGGAAGAGATTTCATTGTGGAGACTTTTCCTCAGGCAAGTTATTGTTCGTCGAGCAAACATTTGGTGTTGAGGGCAAAAAATGACATGGAGCCAGTGAAATCTTGCGCTATGAACTTAAAAAAATTCTTTCGCATAAAGGCTTAACTAGGTTTTAGGGTTTAGGGTGACCAACTTTTCCGGACAAACTTCCATCTAGCTGCCACTACTATTTTCTTCGATACCCGTTTTCCCACTACCCTTTCACCACTTTGCACAAGTTCCCCAAGTACCTCATGAGAAACAGAAGCAGCAAAGCCATGCTACAGTGGAGTCCACAACCAAAAGATGACAGTGCCTAATCCCACACGGTTAGTTAAGGGAAGGAGGTCCACCTTTTGTTATGGAGGTTTAGGGAGTAATATTGGTGGTAAAAGTCAGATGAGTTAGTACGAGAAGAGGAAGGAGTCGAAGCCAATTGTGGGGGCAGCAACTATAGATTTCTAATTGTAATGTTAGAACTAGTAGTTGAAAAGGATATAAGTATCACCATGTGGAGTACTTGAGTAATTTCTTTGTGTTGAATAAGGTGATAACGAAAAGTTACTTAGATGTCTTGCATGTGGAAGAACATGGAGAGAATACCACCACATGATCAGAAATATCCCCAACAAATACACATTTATTTAAATTTCCTTGATGATTTTTGCATTCTACGAAAGTATTTTCCTCTGCCCAACTGTCAAACTTGGTTGTAAATACTTTTTGAGATTTGATACACTAAAAATCGCCAAAAACAAAAGTTCGGAGATTAGGTAACGGGACGAAATCATTCGACAGTTAGAAACAAAAAAATCATGACTTAACAGTCGTTTTAGATTCGGTTATGATGATTTTTTACAAATATAATCGCTATTGCTGGATTCATCTCCACATACTTTAAAAAAACCCCTTCTTCCTCTATCTTTCAGTTTACTTATTCTGAAAAAAAAAAAATCATTCCTCTTTAAATTTAAAATTCCTCTTCTTTTCTCAAATTTTTTTTTTCTAACGGGTTCCAAAGCTCTAAACCCCATGGCTAAGCCTTTTTTCTTGAACGTTTTCAAACACCACGAAAGATGGAGATGTGTGGACTTTAGAAACTTGAGAGAGAGAGAGAGAGAGAGAGAGAGAGAGAGAGAGAGAGAGAGAGAGAGAGAGAGCGAGAGCGAGAGAGAGAGATTTTGGCCAAAGGCTGAGAAATTTAGAAGTACACTTACCTTTTTCCCAAGGGGCAAGATAGAGGTGGATGATTTTCACATGTCCAATTCCTTTGATGATTCTTGCAGTCTGCAAAATTAGTTTTCATGATCCAACCGTTAAACATGTTTGAAGATTAGGTAACGGGATGAAATCATTCACCAACTAGAAACAAAAAAATCACGATTTAACTGTCGTGTGAGCTCTGATTTTGATGACTGTTTACAAATACAATCATTGACCCTAGAAGAAAAAATGAATGAACCCGATCACCAATTTAAAATTTACACTAGTGGATGCAACAAATGCTTACTTCTACTAATGGACAAATAGATTAAACTCCAAGTTTTTTTGGAATCTGTTGTTTTAACGGGACACAGATTCTACTAAACTAGTTTCCATGATCCAATTATCAAACATGTTTATCTATACTTCGAGATCTAATAGGCCAAAAATCACCAAAAACAAACGTTCAAAGATTAGGTAACGGGACAAAATCATTCAACGATTATAAATGAAAAATCACGATTTAACAGTCATTTTAACTCCGATTTTGATTATTTTTTACAAATGAAATCCTCAACCCCAGAAGAATACAATGAATGAACCCAATCATCAATTTAAACTAATTATACTAGTGGATACAACAAAAGCTTATGTTCTACTTAATGGAAGTATAAAATAAACTAAGTGTTTTGGAAGCTATTGTTTTGATGGAACACGCATTCTACGAAACTAGTTTTCATGATCCAACAACTAAACGTGTTTGTATATACTTCGAGATCTCATACATAAAAAATAAACAGTTGGAGATTAGGTATAACGAGACAAAATCATTCGACAGGTAGAAATGAAAAATCACGATTCAATAGTTGCTTTCACTTCGATTTTGATGATTCTTTAGAAGACCCCAAATCGAGAGTAAAATCACACTAAATTGACCTAATCTTGAAATTCAACGATCATTAAACAATTTGAATTTAATGTTAAACAATTTTTTTTTTCTTCTCAAAATTTGCTTGACGTATTCAAATTGTGATTGTTTAATGATCGTTGAATTTCAAGATTATGGTAAAATCCAATGAGAGAGTCTTTATGGTAAAATCCAATGAGAGAGTCTTTATGGTAAAATCCTTACATTTGAGGTTTTTGCTATTTTATATGATAAATTGATTAGGTGCAAATTTTTTGTTTGTGTTAACTTTTTTGAATTAATATCACATTATGTTGAAGTAAATTATTTTTATGAACACTTAAACAAAACGAAATTGAAATTTTGATACCAAATTTTTTCTTCACAAAAAATGTAACTATATTGGCTACATTATTGAATTATTATGTCATTGGTATGCTTGTAAGTGCATACAGATTCAACCATTAAATTAATTTATTACATAAAATATACATTGCTACATAATTAAAAGAAATATATTGATTCATTACCTAAAAGTACTACATCATACCTAATACATAGTTTAAAAGAAATTTGTGGGCCACTTAGTATTATGGTCTAGTGATATTCCTTTTCACTTGTAAATGAGAGGTCTTAAGTTCAATTCTTGCCAAAGAAGAATTTAAACCACATTATTGTTAGCTCATTGTGAAGGTAAACCATTCCGTTTTCTTAGTGTAGATAATATCGTTTGTTAAAAAAAAAATTTGTAACAAATTGATTTGGGATGAAGAGAAATGATCATGGAGACATTGATTCTCAACGGTAACAAAATTTGAATACCACAGACCTTTGATTTGGAATCTGTTGGAAGGGGGAAAAAATATTATGAGCTATGATCGCTGGATCCAAGCTGCAGCCGCGTTAGCAGCTGTCTGGTGAGTCCAACAACACTTGTGCGCATGTGAGGCAATTAGGCTTTTAACTGCAAAGTAGCACTCAACACAGTTGGCCATGTTTTCCACCCAATTTTCCCAACTGGCTCCACCATTGCTGTACCGATATAGTGGTTATATGTGGGTATATACATTATGTATCCGATGAGTCTTTATACTTTAGAGACTCATTTTTTGATTATTAGAGATTCATTTTGTCCCTATATTTGTTTTATTTCAATTTTATATTGTGGTTGTCCCTATTTATAGACTCCATTGGAGATGCTCTAAGAAATTTCCAAGTCTTGTTATGTCTTCGAGCGAAGAATTTTGCTCGACCAAATTTTCCCGACGACTTTTTGTCGGCTAATGTTTAGGGCGATTAACACAACTTTTGTTGAGAATAAATCCCACATTGATGAGAGGAAAAACCTTGCATGTGCTAATAAGAGGTCCTACTCCCTACATTACTAATTGGTTTTATAGTGGAACCTCAACTTTCTTCATGGTATTAGAGCAGGTTGTCCCACGTGTGAAGCCCAACGGCCATATGTGCTCCACGTCACTTGAGTTGTGTTGTCCACGTGTTAGACTTGAAAATTCACCACACATGAGAGAGCGTGTTGAGAATGCATCTCACATTAATGAGAGGAGGGACCTTGCATATTTATAAGAGGTTAGGCTACTTTATATTACCAATTGATTTTATGAAGGAACCTCAACTTTCTTTAACTTTTACCCAACAAAACTTTTACCCAACAAAACTACTCCGTCTGACAATTTGTTTTGGTTGTGAATAAAGTTTTTCTCCTCAAAAGTCTTTGGAATGTACGAATACGAGAGTTACAGATCGCTGAAAGGGTTTGAAATAAGGAAAACTAACGAAAAGTCCAAAAAAACTTCCCTTTTAATGAAAATCCCTTTTTAAAGGTATAATGAATAATGATAGTTAAAGGTAAAAATGTGGTTTTTCGTTAAAAGTGAACATTACTGCGAGTGCTTTGTTAAAACTCCCTTTGAAATATTATATACATGATTCAAATGTCCCAAGTTCCAACTAATAAAGAAACAATATAAACACTACAATGT